GTTTTTTTACTTTACTAGCGGACCGGACAGACGTTGTACACGCGACTTAAATCCGACAACGACATATAAATAAAAAATAAAAAGCGAATTGTGAATCTAAACCATTCTAGAATCGACCTGAAGACACAAAAAAATTTCATTGAAGTCGGCTGTACGGCTGATTAACTCCTACCTTAACCTAAATGGCTGGACCGTTTAGGAGGAGTTTAGTGACATACACATATATATGAAGATATCGTTTACAACTCAAGAAATTTAAGTAATTTTGGGACCGTACTTAAGGTGAATATTAGAATAACGGCCTTTTAATATAATCGTGCTCTTTCTTAAGAATATTTTCATTTCAATGCAGATGCCGAGCTATAACCACAATAGTTTATGTCTGTGAAAGTAGTTAGGAGAAGCAAAATTATACACAAAGAATACATTTTCGCAAGATCATGTACACTTTCTATATAATAGATAAAATATCTTATGAGATCAGAGTGCAATTATTGTACTTACGCCTTACGTCTTTGGGTCTTAACCCACGGAGTATAAATAGGCTAACAAGATCAGGACGGAGTAATCGCGACGTGGTATAGCGACGAAGATGTTTTCAAACGTACTTACTTTCTTTACCATTGTTTCGGTGGCCATGTTAACAGCGTCGCGTATTGGCAAAAATAGACCATTTGGTGAGTTTTAAAAGATTGAATTATTGTTAAATAAATGTGGGATTTATTACCACGTGCTAAGCGGAGTAGGATTAACATCGTGAGGAAATTAGTTATCTGAGGTCCAATTATGTGCCGACACCTGTAGTAAGCATTACAATCTTTCAATACAACTTTTCGCATATAACATTTTCTTTTATGTGATTACAGTGTCCCGTGAATGAAAAATACTATAAATGTTCTTTAGAGGTATGCTATAATACTTACTTGGTACTTGCAATGATTTGGAACTACGACCACCTTGCCCTTTACTCGCTGCGGAATGTTTCAAGCCTTCGTGCGAATGTTTCTTTGGAAATTTAAGAAACTCCAATGGAGAATGCGTCCCTACAGCAGAGTGTTGTAAGTGTGTCTCTTAAAGAAATACTTTTAGTCTATGTGCCGGTAACGACCACAACAACAACGACAGCGCGTTCTTCAACTCTCGGTCCAACCCTTGAGCTGTGAGATCGGGCATTCAAAATTGAAAATACCATTACCTTGGATGCCAGATCGATCGATAAAATGACACACACGGGTGGATTCGTCGTAGGCGCCTTTAAATTTTTAACCACTTAATGCAATCTCCACTCACAAAGATTTCATAGACTGATCTGATGAGAGTAATCGAGCCTTTGACTCTTAGACGAATTAACTATAATATTCTTGAATGTGTGGCCAAGTTGAAAGGTTATGGAACGCCAGCCGTACTGGTCATCGCAGTGTAGGACGATCCCGCACCAGTCCGTCCAGTGATGAAATGTGCAAATGTGCAGGAATTCGATGAATGCTCAGGAGCGTGCGTCGTGACAGTCTGTGGGGAAGGCGTATTTTTTTTTTTTTTTTTTTTATGGGAATAGGAGGCAAACGAGCATGTGGGTCACCTGGTGATAAGCGATCACCGCAGCCCATGGACATTTGCAACATCGGTTGAGTCGCAATTGCGTTGCCGGCCTTTAAGGAAGGAATAGGCTCTCTTCTTGAAGGTCCCTAAGTCGTATCGGTCTGGAAATACCGCTGGCGACAACTCGTTCCACAAAGTAGTTGTGCGGGGTAGAAAGTTTCGTGAAAAAACGCACTGTGGTGGAACGCCAACCATCAAGGTGGTGTCGATGGTACTTGGCGGTTTGACGAGTTGTACGATGGTGAAATTCACCAGCAGGTATCAACCCAAACAATTCCTCAGAGCACTCCCCATGATATATCCGATAGAAAATGCATAGGGATGCAACATCCCTACGCAAGGCCAAAGAATCGAGGCGATCGGACAGGATTTGGTCGTCGACGATTCGAGCAGCTCTTCGTTGAATGCGGTCAAAAAGAAGGAGCTGGTATTTCGGTGCCCCAGCCCAGAGGTGAGAACAGTATTCCATGTGAGGCCGAATCTGTGCTTTATAAAGCTGCAACCGATGTGTCGGCAGGAAATACTGTCTCGCTCGGTTTAGGACACCGAGTTTTTTAGAAGCCAGCTTGGCTTTTCCTTCCAAGTGACCGCGAAATTGAACGCTGCTCGATATATCGACCCCAAGAATTCCGATCGAATCGGTGGCAACAAGGGGAGTGCCTTCAAAAAAGGGAGATACGACGTAGGGTTTTCTCTTCGCGGTAAACGCGCAAACCTGTGTCTTCATGGGGTTAAATTGGACTAAATTAAGTCTGCCCCAATCCGAGATTTTGCATAACATAACCTCGACTTCAGACACAAGTTTATTCCGGCACTCTTCGACGTACTCCTGAGAAATATTTGCCCGGCCGGTATATAGTGCGTCACCCGTAGTGTCATCCGCATAGCAATGAATGATGCAAATATGCAACAGATCATTGATATGTAGGAGGAACAACGTAGGGGACAGGACGCAGCCTTGTGGGACACCAGAGTTCACGAATTTAGCGTCGGAGCAAGCACCGTCAATAACGACCTTGATGCTCCGACTAGTGAGAAAACTAGTGATCCAGTTGCACAATTTCTCAGGAAGCCCGTAAGATGTAATCTTAGAAAGAAGTGCTTTGTGCCAAACCCGATCGAAGGCTTTCGCTACATCCAAACTAACCGCCAAGGCCTCACCCTTTGTCTCAACTGCCTCCGCCCATCGATGCGTTAGGTACACTAAAAGGTCACCAGCTGAGCGCCCGCGTCGAAAGCCATATTGACGATCACTAATGAGCTGGTGCTCCTCAAGGTACCTAAGGAGCTGGCAGTTTATGATGGACTCCATGATTTTAGAGAACAAAGAGGTGAGGGCAATAGGCCTATAGTTCGACGGATCTGAACGATCACCTTTTTTTGGAATCGGGTGCACTAAAGCCGTCTTCCAAGAAGTTGGGACAATGCCTAGAGAGTAGGAGTGCCGGAAAAGGCGCGTTAAAAACCGGTGCCAACTCTGGAGCACACGTCCTTAACACAATGGGAGGGATTCCGTCTGGCCCGCTCGACTTATGGATGTCTAAGGAGAAGAGTGCTTTACGTACTGTGCTCTGCAGAAACCTTATTTCTGGCATTGTGTGCTCACACCGCGGGATGGGCGGCGGTGTGTTCCCCTTATCATCCAGTGTCGAGTTAGACGCGAAGAGGGTGCCCAAAAGTTCGGCTTTCTCTTCAGCGGTGTGGGCCAACGAATCATCTCGCCTGTGCAAAGATGGAAAAGATGGCGTGGCGTACAGAAGTTTCCTTGAACAGCCTTGGCGAGAGACCAGAATGCACGAGTCCCCGAAGGAAGGTTAACTAATTTCTCGCCAATTTTGCCGATGTGCTCTGACCTTGCTGATGCGATTGCTCTTTTGAGGGACCTAGAGGCAAAGTTGTACTCCTTTTTAAAGTGACTGGTATTTACATCCCTAGACGCACACCGCAACGGTCCAGGCCCGATAACTCTCCTGCTTATGGCGAGATGCCAATTTGCAGGAGCGACGGAACCAGGGATTGGATCTGCCGCCAATGGGAACCGTAGAGAAGGGGATAAAAAGTTCCATTCCCTGAAGCACCACATCGGCGACAGAATCAGCGATGGCGCTGGGATCATCCAGCAAGAAGCAAACCTTGCCCCAGGGATAAGATGCAAAGAAGGACCGCATCCCATCCCAATCTGCTGACCTGTAATGCCACACACGACGAAAACTCGGGGAGCGCGTAAGCGTTCTGCGCGCGATGGGCACTACGCTCCGGACCAGACAGTGGTCTGACGAGCCAAGAGGGGCATCTACAGAAACTTGGTAGTGATCCGGATGAGTGGTCAGCAGAAGGTCCAACAGGGAAGGAGAATTATTTAACACATCTGGGATCCGCGTAGGCATAGTGACCAATTGTGTTAAACCATTTGCAATGGCAAAGTCGTGTACAGACCTCCCCGCATGATCGGTGGTATGTGACCCGAGCCAGTCGACGTGATGGGCGTTAAAATCACCAAGGATCACGGTCTCTGCGGTTGGGATCTGTTGGAGCACATAATCTGTACCCATTTGGACGTGGTTTATGAGTCGGTCTGTTTCCGTATTGCCGCTATGGGACCTATAAAGGCACGCATAGACGCGAGGGTGGTCGTCGTTGTCTACACGTAGCCATATGATGGACAGGTCCGTACCTTCAAGGCTGCTGAGACGACGAGAGCAGATATCCTCCCTAACATACACACAAACTCCGGCTCGGGGCACAAAGGAGTTTTCCAACTTATACCCCGGATAAGAGAGATATGATGTGTCTGCCGGAGAAGATATCTGAGTCTCAGTTAGAAATAGCAAGGACGGCTTTGCCGTCTCAAGGTGGTAGTGGACGGCATTGAGGTTGGAGTGAAGTCCCCTTATGTTGCAAAAATCCACAGAAAGCGTGGTAGGGGTTGCCGTAGTGTGCCTGCTACGTTTGCCTCGAGCAGAGGGAATGGAGAGCGGAATTATGCCCCCCCCAGAATACGTGGGGCAGCCCGAGCGGCCACGCCCAGATGGCGAAAGGTCATCTGAGCGCGGACGCCCAGTAGGGGATTCTCCAGAACTAGAAGTGCTGGTACCCCCCTGGGGTTGTTAGTTTTTAATACCGCTACCATGATGTTGGGGGGAGAGGGGGTGGGCCTCCGGCAACCTCACTCACCGGACGAAACGCAAAGGTAAAAATACCTTTACTTTACGCCGATCTTCTGTGAGGCCGTGGTACTTCCCCGGTTTGAGCCGGCCCAATTCAGCATCAGCAAATGCCGATGCATGGCTCTACCACGTACAAAAATCGTATTATCAGCGGTGGACTCAAATAGGCTGAAATGATGATGAATGATGATGATTATGGGTGAGTTGAAGTATGATGTCTTTATTTAAATGTTAGGCCGGTGCGGGAATTGTCAACACTAGGTGTCGCGCTGCCTCTGATGATACAGTCACTGTTGCCTTAGTCCTCGGTGATGGTGACGGCTGCACATCACTGGTCTTCTTTAATTCGCTCACGGGAGCCTGTTTTCCGTTCTTACGTGCGGCGTTATCGACTTTCGTTACAGCTAGATTGAACTCAAGCTTCTTGTCGACGAGCATCTTTTCGTCTAGCCTTTTCCTCTGCAGCTGCCAGCTCCAGTTGCTTGCACCTAACGTATGACAGTAAATATTCTGCTGCCGTAGCTATTGATCAAGTTTTTATCGATCTCTGTGGAGTTCTTAAGATTGTATGCTGAAGGCCTTAAGAAGGGACCAGCATCACTAATTATTTTGGATATGCATATACCTACGAATTTAAGACTCTTTTTTAATATAAATAATGACGGCATACCAAATACCACATAAGTTTAACAAAACAATCAAAAACGCATAAACATTAGACACATTAAAATTGCTTCGCCTACAGTGTAAATTGAAAAATGGTAGTGAAAGTGAGAGTACAGTCTATAAATGTTCCACTGTAGAGCAAATGCCTTCTCCGTACAGGTATCTGGGCACAGTCCTCTACGCGACCTCAATGCGAATTGATAGACTTCACATTTTTTTATAATTTTAAAAAACATAAAGACGCAAACAAAAACAAGAACCCTCAACGACGCAGGTGGTGTAGCACGACCCCGAAATTCACCGGGGGACCCTCCAGACTTAAATTCGTTTCTAACATTTTTTTTTATTTTATTTAAGACACACCAACAGTATACAGTTTACACAACTTACAAAAAAAAGGAAAAATTAAAAAAAAACTGGACCTAATATGTACACCTATAACAGGTGTGTACATCATTTACAATATTGTGACAAAGTTTAGTAAACAAAAAAAAAACTAATTCATAAAAAATTAAATACAAAGAATAGACTAACAAAAAAGAGAAGAGAATACTATACTATAATATATACTAATGAAATGACTCCAGTACTTTCTTTTTGTAAACATAATATATAATCGTTAAAAATATCGATATATTCAGCACGGTTAAAAAGTATATTAAATTCTTTGCACATTCTTACAAAAGGTGAATTGAGGCCAAGATTAGTTTTTACGGTCGGTGTATAAAAGACTTTTGTAATCGGTTTGCGTGGAAGTTTGTGAGGTACAGCTAGTGAAATGTTTTGAAGAGCCTCGGGGCAATTTATTGAGTTATTTAAAAGTGTGTGCAGAAAACCATTGATTGTGTTTAGACTTAATTTAGTCCTAGATATATTTATTTTTATAACCTCAAAATACAATGAATTTTATCAATTTTGGGAGTTTCAGCGGCTATTTCCATAATTAAGGGCATTCTAATCTTCAGCTTATTTACAATAAGATGAAGATTAGAATGCCCTTTAATGTAATCGTTTTAACAAATCTCGAGCTCATAACAATATTTTCGTTTTCACACAATGTAGATCGCCGAGCTATAACCACAATAATTGATTTGTGTGAAACTAGTTAGAAGCAAAATTATACACAGGGAATAATTATCTTCAAATCCTTATTTCTTTATAATAGATAAAACACCGCATGAGATCAGAGTGTAATTACTATACTTATGCTTTACGTGTTTGTGTCTTAACCCACGGAGTATAAATACGCTAGCAAGAACAGGACGGAGCAAATCGCAACGTGGTGTTACAACGAAGATGTTTTCAAATTTACTTAGTTTCTTTGCCGTGGCTTCGGTGGCCATGGTAACCGCTTCGTGTATCGACCAAAATCAACCATTTGGTGAGTTTTAGAAGTTTTAGTTATTATTGTTACATAAATGTGTGATTTATTATCACGTGATAGGCGGAGAAGGCTTTTAACATTGTTACGACATAATCACCCTGAATTTAAATTTGTACTCAGACACCAGGCTCCGTATTTTTTTAGTAAGCACATAAACCTTTTTTTATAATTTACTGATTTTTTTGAACAGGCTTACCAACTTCTTTTTCTTCTGGGGTGCAATATCCTATCGGAGGTCGGCGACCACCACACGGAACTCTTCTCTATTCTGCGCCAATCTACAAAGTCTGACGGCGTCCTTGATGTCTGTCCATTTTTACAAATTGTCACTCCATGTTATTCGTCTTCGTCCTCTTCCCCATTTTCCTTCTATTTTTCCTTCAATTATATTTTTCAATGTATTATATTTCTCATGTCTATATATATGTCCAAAATATGCGGTTTTACGTTTTTTAATAGTTACCAATATTTCTAGCTGTTTCTTCATTCTTTAAGTACCTCTTCATTCGTTATTCTATCTCTCCATGAAATTCTCAAAATACGTCTATACAGCCACATTTCGATGGCGTTAATTTTGGATTTTTTGGTACTTTTGTTTAGCTTCCACCCCTCCGCCATATACAGAAGCACTGACACAAAGTAACACTCACCATTCTCCATCTGTGTTTAAGTGCGATGTCTTTGTTATTGTAAAGTTTTGTCATTTTCATAAAGCTGCACCTGAGGCGATTTCTATTCTCGTACGGATTTCTTTTACAGGGTCGGAGTATTCGTTCGGTCAGGTTCCCAAATATCTATATTTTTGAACCCAACCAAATACATAAAAAACTGTGATTATAGTGATGGACTTAAAAATTAAGTTTATATACATTGTACACATGCATTTAAATTAAAAGTAAACACAACAACGAATAAAAGACTTCATTTAAGGAGAACAGTCGCCTACAAAACTACGAAATAGTTATTGGATTGTGTGATGTGCTTGCGCCTTTCTCTTTATAACAGTTAACCTATCAAAATGTTTGGATATAAAATAAAGTTTTCTTTTATGGTTACAGAGTGTCCGCTAAATGAAAGTTACTATAAATGTTCTCTGGAGGTATGCTACAAAACTTGCACCCATTTGAAACAACCACCTCCTTGCCCTTCAATTTCTGCAGACTGTTACAATCCTTCATGCGAATGTATCAATGGATATTTAAGAAACGCCATTGGAAAATGTGTCCCTATAGCAGAGTGTTGTAAGTTTGTGTTTTAAGGAAATGTTTTTCGTATATGGGGCGTTCGATTTTTTTTGCATGCTTTAATTAATTGCATTTAATATTACAAATTAATAAAAGACAATACCATACAGGTGCAGAACAATAATATACAGATCATTATCGGATTGTCTTTGATTTTTAAATTAATATTATTTGCATATAGATATTTTTATTAGTTTATCATTTAAACATATAAACTCTTCTTTTACAGAAACCTACTGGAGAGGTGAAAATGTTTAAGATGGATTATACTAAAAAAACTATATTGTATTTTGAGCCCGTTACTAGTGTAATAATTACATAATATGAAGAAATTATATAAGAAGTTTTATTACGATTTATTTTTACTGACTAACGTAATTTGTAACCATTAGATTGACAACACTACTGCTCAAGGTTATCAGTATGACATTAGATGATATAAATAACTACACATATTGCAACATCATTGCAGTAATATAAGCTTTGATCTAAATAAACAAAATGAATTTTTAATAAATTGCATTTATTCTTTTGTTAAAATGAATCTTATCTGTAAATTAATATGATTGAAAATAAACAAATAAAAGTGAAGGCAACAGTTATATTAGTACGTGAAGACATAGACGGTTCGAACATACATATCATGAACTGTAACGAATCGGTTTACTTCATCGTTTATCGTCCTTACTTAATATTATAAACGCGAAAGTTTGTATTTATGGATGATGTGTGTTACTCTTTCACGCAAATACTACTGAATGGATTTTAATGAAACTTTAAAATAGTATAGCTTATACATCAGAATAAGACGTAGGCTATAATTTACATACATATTTTATGTATATCTGTCTGAATGTTACGCCTTCAGCCTATTCTACGCAGACGTAGTCGCGGGCAACAGCTAGTTTGTTATATAGCAGCAACGAAAAAAATAAAACGAAACCGTCTCCATGAAAACAGTGAACAGGCTTTTACTGAGCCAATGCGTTAAGACTTAAAAAATACTCACAGATATTACCTAATATAATACAAAAGCTCTCTTGCCAAAGATCGTGTTGTTCATCAACATAGTCTGTACAATAATGTTAAGTTCAATGTCAAGCCTTAGACATATTATATATAAGTAAAGTAACAGCCTATACATGTCCCACTGCTGAGAAAAGGCCTTCTCTATATAGAGGGTATCAGGGCACAATCCACCACGCGGCCCCACTGCGGATTGGCGGACTTCACATATCTTCGAAACATTTTTTTTTTTGTTATTATTTCGAAACGCGGAGCACGTGGCAAGTCAGCACTTAAAGTTAAAAACTTCATTGGTGCCGGCACCGGGGATCGAACTCAGGTTGCTCGAGTATATTGAATTAAAGGCGAGCGCCCGGACACCGAGCTATCACGGCTTTATATATACATATATATATATATATATATATATATATATATATATATATATATATATGTCAATGTCAATAAACTCTAATGAAATTTTTAATTTCTTTTATTTATTTATAATTTGCAGTCGGATTTAAGTTGTGCGTACAGGAAGGACAACATCTGTCGGTCCGCTATTGTAATTATATACCTTAATACTTATCTTACATACTCATATTTAATTGCTTATTTATATCGAATATATAACCCATATTGGTTTCCATAAACACAATGATTAAAGGCGAAAACAACATTACAAATACACGTCCGTTTTCCTTATTCATCATACTCTTTTTATGTCTCAATGGCAATACAAATTCCAAATGATATTTTTAATGCAGTCGTCCTGTTCTAACAGAGTATAAATACGCTGGCTAAATATTGGGACAGGCCAATAGTGGCAAATGCTGTAACAATGAAGATGTATTCATATCCATTACTACCTATGTTGGTAGTAGCGTCATCGGCCACGGTAACCGGTTCACCCTTCGACGAGGACCGACCATTTAGTAAGCCTTAGACATATTTTACTAAGCTTATCATTAATAACTTACACTTACAAATGCACCGGTTTCTTTTACGCTTTGAGCAAATCTCAGTCACGGGACAAGCAGACATGTCTTCGTTGGAATTTTAAAATAAAAATCAAGAACAAGGCTTACAAATAAGCTTTTGGTGGCCCTTTAAATATATATCTAACAATTATTGTGAAATTTCATAAGCATCATCATTTCACCCTGTTTAAATCCACTGCTGAACATATGCCTTTTTGATTGCTACCCCACAGACTGGCACTTAAGACGACCGTATGAAATTTACAGTTTATATGCAACTTATATATTTGTATGACTTATCAACAGATTGCCCCGCAAATGAGAAATTCTACAAATGTTCGTCGGAAGTATGCTACAAAACATGCAATCATCTAGAGCTGCCTCCACCTTGCACTTTAATTTCTCCCAGCTGTTATGAGCCGGCGTGTGAATGCGTCGATGGTTATTTAAGAAACTCCAATGGCACGTGTATCCCTAGCAAGAATTGTTGTAAGTGTCCTAGCGAGGAATTGTTTTAAGTTTATAAATATCATAAATTATGTTCCTCAGATCAAATATATGTAAAAGGTCGTTATTATTCTTTCTTTACATTCTAATGCGACTGCAATAATAAAGTAGTGCTGTGTAGTTGAAGGTACTTACCTTTTTTTTGTCTTTAAATCGAAAAAAAACTCAATGAATGAAAAGGAATCATATAGGTGGTCGGACCACCAGCAGCCTCGGCTTTGCACAAAAGGGTAGGCTCGTCCGGGTAAATACCACAACCTTACAGAAGACCGGCGTAAAGTGGAAGTATAAAACTTTCGCGTTTCGTCTGGTGAGTGAGGTGGCCGGAGCCCAATTTTCAAAAGGTTGTCAACGCATCTGCAACCCTCGGGTGTAGCAGATGTCAATGGGCGGCGGTGGTCACTTAACATCAGATGAACCGTCTGCTTGCTTGGCAATTTTTCACATAAAAAAATACAATGAAACAATTGAAACCACTACAATTAATTTAAATTCATGCACGTAACGACTATATTAATCCCACACTAAATTATTTTACGTCCGAAGACGTTTTACAAGTTTCTTTAGACGGGAAACGAAAATATCATGAAAGAAGGTACTTACAATCATATTATTTTTAACTTTTATGAGCAGATGTGGGCCAGTAACTAGGGCTTCGACGTTTTAATCATTTTTCTCTTAGCTTCAGTGGAAAGTGTAAGCGTTTCATCCGTTGTGAAGCACAGAGCATTTGGTAAGTTTGAAACATAATTTTCTCAATCTTTATGTATAAAAATTTAGCTACCGAATGTTTACGTGCACAACACTCAAAAACTAGCCAATCAATTGACTTGATATCTGTAGCTATTGAACAGGAAATTTTTTTATATACTTTATATTATTCCAAATTTCCAACGGATACAAAAAAAGCCACGCTTCGCTGTACCGGGTTCACATAGTAAGAAATATATTATAAAAGTGCTTTACTAATATTTCATACAAGTACTGGTTACCTTACCTATACAAATCAAACAATTGTAACAAAAAAGTTATTTATTTATTAGAATTCTCTAGGTAATTTTGCTATTTTTTTGTTTAGTATAATTTTTTGTTCCACGACCAATTGTCGCATTAAATATTATAGGCTTGGATATTATCTTAGTCGGCGGTTTTATTACATGGTATCAATTAACATTCCAATGCCTCTTGCCTGTAGCTTCGTCAGCAATTGGAACCGTTCCACCTGTCGATGAAAACCAAAGATTTGGTAAGTTTTATAAACACTTTTACCTTTGTATGTTATACGACATATAGATAAAAAAGGCTTGTAGTAATCACTCACTAAGTTCCTTTTAATAAAAAACCGTTAAACATACAAACAACATTTTTTTAAATAAAACGTTAACTTAATTGTTTACTCCTGACATTAACAGAATGCCCCGAAAACGAGAAATACTACAAATGTGGCTTCGAAGTATGTTACAAAACTTGCAAAGATCTAGAGGAACCTCCATCTTGCTCATTAATTTCTGCCAATTGCTACGAGCCAGCGTGTGAATGCGACCACGGCTTTTTAAGGAATGCAGATGGGAAATGTATCCCAATACAGAGTTGTTGTAAGTTTTAATTTTAGTGTTGTAGGTTAATATTCATTCCAGCGTTCGTAATGGAACGTTTTATATTATTTTGTAATTTAGTAATATCTCTTAATTTTCAGAGCTCTTTGCAAATATGACAAATTATGAGTATTAAAAAGTTTCGTGAAATGAAAATAATTTGCTATGATTATCTGGAAATAAACAAAGACGTATTATTGTTTTTTTATTAACAAGTTAAGGACCTCCTTTGTAACATTTTAAAATTAAGAAAAAAACAATAAGCCTTGTTTTTCTGATTACAGACACAGATTAAAACATTGTATTGCATATTATTTTTCTCTTTTCAAACCGTTATATCATATTAAAAATATGGAATTGTTCGAAGGGACAAAATAGTAAAACGGGGATATAATATGTATGCTTTTTAATTTAGTCAATAATGTTTATTTACTCATTTAGTGATCATCTTAAAAATATGCGGCTATACAAATTATTAGGAACAATATTCATGAATTCTCTCAATCAAGTCTTTCAAATTATTTCCTCTGTATCTAAGTCCACGAATAGCGTCACGGATTACCTATTGGCGAGTGGTAGTAAAGACCGATTTAATGTAAATTTGTAGTGGATCAAATCTTTACAAACTTTACCATGTCGTTTTTTTATGTCTCCTGATAAAGTGCCAATACCTTTGACTATACTTTTTTGCTCAATTGTTATCAACTTCACTAAGAGAAGAATTGGCAACCTTTTAAAACTTGTTCGCGTTTGTTTTCTTTTTTCTTTGTCTGATACTTGTATTTAATTCTTTTACTTTCATTATTTTTAGGGTTCTCTTATCAGTCTGTCTGTCCGTGTGTCACCACCGATTTTGAACTATCAAGTTGAAATTTATACCAAATACTGAGGTCTATAGTTCCTATTAGGTTTATAAAAAATCTAGGTCCTGAGTCATGACAATATATTAATTTTAAACTTTATTTTTCGGAATTGTCCCTTTATTTGTGCTGTAATACCTTGCTTTTAACCAAAATTGTCAATTCCAGGTCAACTAGAAGTAAGTACCCTATAGGTTTTGGGGTCGAAAGTATCTGATGAATAATTACCAATTTTATTATGGCGGTATAATGATACGGAGCCTTCGGTGCACGAGTTCGACTCACACTTGACCGGTTTTTTTACGTAAACAGCCAGTTTTCTTGCCATCTTACATGAAAAAAATAAACTTTTATTACTACCATAATTATCTAAGTATACAGAAATGAATGAATAATAAGCAAATGGAAATACAAACAAATATGTGTGTATAAAGCATGGCAATAATTGACCTTATCGGAAAACATGCACTCGTTAATAATAAACGGCATTACAATTTCCTTAGGTATTTAGATGTATTGATGTTTACGAAGATAACCTTCAATCTCTTGGGTTATTTGTGGATTTATGCAAAATCACGTCGCTAGTTTATTTTCATTTACGTTTAATTATTGTTTATACGTGTATCATATACTTTTTTTCTGTAGTACGTATGATAATGTAAAGAAAAATCAACGTGCAACAACAATCAACATCAAAACATTAACGTGCTTATTTTTATTTCAATAAGATGGAAGTTGAGCAAGCGTTTCTTTTGATGATATGTTACGATCACCACCCACGGCCACACAACGTTGGGAGTTAACCATAAAGAGCCTCGAGTTAACCCACACGATGAACAAAATGTAAGATGTAACTAATACTTTTAGACCATTGATGGTTTTCTTCATGGGGCCGTTGACAAGTTATTGACCTCAGCGTTGGGGATTCGATTCTCACACATGACAAGTATTTGCGTGACCCACAGACAATTTTTCCGGTTTTTGGTGTTTATTTCCTAAGGAGGGTTGACGTCAGGCAGGCGACCGGTCGTAAAAACATAGCCAAAATCGCTTACATGTTGTAAGCGATTTTGGCATTCACGTGTTGCACCGCAAGAACGTTGAATATTGTGATGAATACTTAAAGAAAAGCAAATATTTTTTCCATTTTCTTGATAACTGCTGTAGAAATAAAGAACTAAAAATCATAACTGAAGAAACTTGTAACAGTCAAATGTACTAAGTTGTCATTGCTGGACAAATTTTAATAATGATACGTGGTCTATTTATTTTCAATTTATTTAGAGTTAAATTAACCACGCAAATTCCGGGAACGTCAATAATTTCTTGTATTTTCGTGATTATACGCTACTAAACGAAATTATATTATAGGTGGTAAGTACATTCTGCGTAGTTCGTCACGAAATAAATAATTAAAAAAAAACTGGCGGTAGCCCTAACAATTCAAACATCACGCTTCAGTCTCTCCCGTGACCAAGAACGTTGAAAACGTTGGGGAATAAAATTAAAAAGGCAATAAATCCATAAATACAGTTTCATTTAGTCCGTTTTGATTGATTTGTTTACTAACTTTTTAATCATTTTACTTCTTTTTCCGTAGCCTCCTTCTCTCATAATTAAGTTTGTAAATCTTTTAATAAAACAAGTACAGCCGCAGTTTTTACTTTTCTCAATTGAAAGATCGATAAGTGTGTATGTAACATTATAACACACAAATTGTGAAATCTCTTCGAATGTATCTTCTTATAATTCTTGACTTATAATTCTCGACTTGTATTTATTTACGACGCTCGGTGGAACGACGGTGAACTTTTTCATTTGATTGAAGTTCGGAACTCTGTTCCACTGAGAGCACTAACCCACCACAACTTCCACCGCAATGCATTAACAGCTAAGTGAGTTATAACAATACTGAATAGGCACATAACGCTCATTTGTCCAGGACAATTTTCTGTAACATCGCCAAATAAACATTGCAAATGTTTGTTAAACAGTAGAAGAGACAATAGGAAAAGTTAAATAAATAAGAGTAGGGATGAATCATAGATAGAGAATATCTTTGATGCAAATGTAATGGAAAGTTAGAGAAAATTATGTGTAAACAGAACAATGACGTTTAAAGTAAATAATAAAGATGACACATTTCCATACTGCGCGGCGTTCAAAAATTGTTCCGTCTCACATTATATGACATAATTATACAGCGTGTCGTTACAACCGCGACAATAAATGAACACACGTCTAACAAATTTTGTTTTCTATAATCCCTAACAGAATAGCCTAGTGTTAACTGTTATTTATTTTTCATACATCTGTCCCAATTAATTTACACTAGCCACAGCGACTAATAGATTATTGAACCTTGACCTTTAATTTCCATTCAAATGACCAACGGCATCGTTAGAAGTCGACGTCGCTGTTAATAACTCCTCTGCAACTCTAGATACTAATTTTTTGTCATAATATTACTTTCAACTCTCCATGTAAATAAATACCTAGAAGAAATAATTCGTGGTTTTTTCATTTTTGTTATTATTTCGGATATATGCAGGTTACCTCAGGATGTTTTCCTTCACCGCCAAGCACGTGATAAGTCAGCGCTTAAAATTAACAATTTCATTGGTGCTGGCACCGGGGATCGAACTCAGGTTGCTAAAGTAAATTGAATAAAATGCAAGCGCCCGGACACTGATCTATCACGGCTCAATTATTAAATATTGTGTATTAATTTATCGGCGTTTTTCTACGCCAGATAATTAGATCGTTATAGTGATAACGCAGTTGCTTATCCTCCAGGGGCTAGTGTTTTTTTTAAATAAAACTGTGAATAGACTCTTCACTGATATTATTTTTAGCAGTATTATACTCAGTAAGTATTTTTACTCTATCAGGTGAGTCAATGAACCTCTATTACACAACTGCAGCTCCACGAATGTTGCTGATGTTCATAGCTGTCGAAAAATTTCCAATCAATGTTTTACAAAGTGTAAATGGACTTTACAAACAATATCCTACGTTTTTTCGTATTGTGTCCTCTACGAGTGATATGAAAATCTACTTAGCTACTAGGTTGGTGACAAACTAAATAAGAGATACCTACACGTCAAATAGAACATGGTTCGGATTAAGTTGGCTCCGGCTATCTCATTTACCAGAGGAAAGTAGCAAGCAAAGCAAAAGTATATAACAGTCCCACTTCACGCCGGTCTTCTGTGAGGTCGCGGTACTCGCCCGGACGGACCCATTTGGGCAACAGCGAAGTTTGTTCCGTTACCACAAACACACACTAAAATATTGCTATTGCCTTCTTATAATTTGAACATGGCCAAACGAAAAGCGTAACTTTGAGAATAATGTACGCAGCCTTAATAATTAAATGATGCCCTTTGCCGACACTCCAGATCCGTGACTCTACTTATAGAGTGATGTATAATTCCGTTTATATGAGAACCTTTGGGCCAGAGGTTATCTTGTTAAAATTTAATTATATTCCTACGCTTTATACAAATAAAGCTGTTATGAAATATTATTAAATACTTCATATTATTAGTTACGCCAAAATTTATAAGAAAAACATTCAAAACGAATCTAATAATAAACCCGTAAACTAATTTTATTTAAAATTATTGTAAGCCATACTCGTTTTGCTACTTCTATACTCCCAAATCACGGGCATAAAATAATAGAAATAAATAACGTAAGCTAGTTTACGTAGCTTTAAAATATTAAAGAAAAATAACGTATAAATAAGGATTTTCTCCGTATTTTAATGAATACCCAGTACGCATCGCGAGACTAGTTTTTCTCAATTGTTATTTTCAATGGTTTCCTACACTGGCGAGCACATAGTAAATCAACACTTAAAATGAAAATTAACACTTTCATTGGTGCTCGCCCCAAAATTTGAACCCAGGTTACGTGATTACCAGACACCCAAACTGTCACGTCTCTAAGCCACCACGTGTAGAGTACATTATATTATTAATGTCTTCTATTATAATGATCCTCACATGTGTAACTGCTTAGCATGGGTTTAAAATGAACGACAATCTCTTCTATTCTTATTTTACGTGGAAGGGGTTGGGTAATAAGTAACAACGAACACTGCGATGTGGAAGACCTATTGTAGATTCCCTTACGAAAACATAATAAATGAGGGTACTCTTATTGTAGGAACTCTAACTTGTGTTCTAAGTACATTTTACATACATAAATTTCAAGTGGATAACAATTATTTTTGGGTCACATAACAGGTCGCGGCGTCATCAATTTCGATAATTATATTGTTGAAAATTAGTATCGGATTATGCGTGTCAAAAGCTTTATGTATTTTAAAGTTCATTCTACGTAACCTACAATTTTATCTGTTATTATTATCCAAGGTATTGGGCTTCGGCAAACAACACAGAGAAATATAATCGTAAGGTAAGGGTAACGTTTTTGCCAAAAAAAAAAGTTTTCAACGCGCCTGAAGAAGTTTTCACTTCAATAAATACAAACATCCGAATTGATGATCTCTTTCTTTTTGACGTCGGTGAAAAAGAAAAAAAAAAAAAGATATATTCATGATAAGCGAAAAACAATAAAAAGTACTCTACTGATATTTTATTCCCAAACTGGGATTACAAATTACCGGAGTACAGGTATATGTGTAAATAAATTGTATACCTGGGGCCAGCAGACACGCAGAACGTTGTTTTATTGGCCATAAAACACATACGCCCCAATTAAACCGAACGTCAGCGTTGCCAACGTGTACGTTAAACTTTCATTGCAAATGTTCGTTAAAGTATGTTCATTGGAGCAAACTTACTAAAGTTTTGCATAAAAAATATACACTTAGCTATACGTAATGATGAACGCATGCAGTATGTAGGGGAATCATACTTTGTTAACACCATTATCTATAAATAATGTTGACACGGGACAAATATTTCTGTGACCCACATAAAGTTGTTTCACAGCTGAGTTTTTGTGACCGTGAAATATGTTTGTAACGTCCTTACAACACAGGATAATGATATCCTAAAGTATTTTACTTTAGGATATTATGATCCCGTGTTGTTTTTAGCAACATTTAAAGAAAATTACGAGCTCATTAATTATAATATTAACTGGGAGTCAGTGGCCCGGAGTTGGGTCTACTTTAGATGCTACTTGACGTCCTAACCATC